TTGTTTTCAAGGTGGTGGATTCTCGGTCATTCCGTACGGATTCGGTGATCGGGGAGTTCCGGGTAAGGAATTCCCGTCCCCTTTTTTCCCGCTGTTTCCCGCTCTGGATGAGCTCTGGAATCTCATTTTTCTTTTATTCCACAGATGGATGTGGAGAGTGTTTACTCCGAGCCAAGTGAGTCCTGGGAATCCCCTTTTTTTTTTGGGGAAAAGCACCCAAATATCCGAGCTCTTCCACAGTTGAATCTGAATGTGTCCCTGTGTCCATGATCAGGGAATCCTGGAATGGTTTGGGRTGGAAGGGACCTTAAATCCCATCCCGTTCCGTGGGCAGGGACACCTCCCACTKTCCCAGGGTRCCCCAAACCCCARTGTSCAGCCTGGCCTCGGACACTTCCYGGGATATGGGGCAGCCCCAGCTGCTCTGGCAATTCCATTCCAAAGATCCCTTCCTTTTTCCCAGATCCCTTCCTGGGAAAGGAATTGAAACATTCTCATGTTCCATTCCCGTGTTCTATTCCTCTATTCCATTCCTGTATTCCATTCTTATATTCCATTCTCATATTCCATTCCCTTATTCCTTTCCCTTTTTCCATTCCATTCCCATATTCCATTCCCATATTCCATTCACTTTTTCCATTCCACTCCCATATTCTATTCCCTTTTTCCATTCCATTCCCATATTCCATTCCATTCCCATATTCCATCCCATTCCATTCCATTCTATTCCCATATTCCATCCCATTCCATTCCATTCTATTCCCATATTCCATCCCATTCCATTCCATTCCCATATTCCATTCCCATCATTCCCTTCCCATATCTCATCCCATTCCATTCCCATATTCCATTCCCATCATTCCATTCCCACATTCCATCCCATTCCATTCCCATATTCCATTCCTATCATTCCATTCCCATATCCCATTCCATTCCATTCCCATATCCCATTCCATTCCATTCCCATATTCCATTCCATTCCATTCCATTCCATTCCATTCCATTCCATTCCATTCCATTCCATTCCATTCCATTCCTATATTCCATTCCCATCATTCCATTCCCATATTCCATCCCATCCCATCCCATCCCATCCCATCCCATTCCATTCCATTTCATTCCATCCCATTCCATCCCATTCCATGACATTCCCTATAAACCCCACTCGGGATCATCCCTGACCTCCCCGCCCATCCAAGGCCCAATTCCCGGATTTCCCCATTTTTCCCCCAGAACACGCTTTCCTCCGGAAGTGGCTGCTCCTCTC